AGTTTTTAATAAGTTGACATATTTTAAATCTTCAGCTATTTGAATATTCAGAATAACTTTGAACATTCAGAACTTTGACCCCACTATCTTCTTACCGGCTCCTTTCAATCTACACTTCCTTCAGATTCCATTATCCATTTTATAATTAAACGCCAGGTTAAGCTTGAAATGGAATGGGAAAAAGCACTTGTTACGCCAATCAAGAAAAGTGAACTGCTAACTGATTAATTTTCTGGGATAGAGTCTCCATGGGATTTATGAATGCATAAGTTCCCACAAGCAAAGCATGTAATGGTGTGGTTTCCCGTTTACAGAAACTGTAATTTCATCAACCAGAAGTCAAGCCGATCTGACTATTTGATTCTATACACGCTTCGCTGCAGCAAACACTGTGTTTCTATTTTAATGTTGTACAATTAGTAGGTCGCTTGATTGATGTGACCACAAGAAAATGCAAAACTGTGCTACTTCAAATGTATTGTTCATAAATTTTGCTATGTTGCTAACAAATAGTGATTCATACTTGCCGAAGAAAGCATCCAGCAAAAAGGTGTGACCTATACTTCCAATCTTCGCATGTCGGTCTCATAGTCGTTTTTGCCAAAACTGAGTTTTTTTTAATACAAATGGTAGCTAATTCCTCACATTTTCATAATACTGGGTGAACTCATAAACTTTGTGAGCATGAGCATGAGCATTGAGCTTTGACGACCATACATTTCAGTAGTTGCTACTCCGTGATTGACCAGATTAAGCGAAATTTGCACAAAGAACCATGTTAATGGGGCTTGGGACTAGCAATCTATTCTCAGTGTACAAAATCCGGAGAATCCTTATTTTTGAGGTCAATAACGACGCCGTGGCGTGCCGGCCACGTCCTTACGGTCTTAGGGGAGAGGAAGAATTGTTATTCAAACAACCGTTGTTACTAGAGACCGAGTATACCTCTGCATCTCCACGGTTGCCACGGGAAGGACGTTTTTGTTAGTGTGAAGGGTAAGTTAGATCTGGATTCGCATTGGGAAGTAATTCGATCTTTTAAAGCCTGTTAAGCAAATGACGCCGTGGGTTCTAACCCACGGTCTTCTGCTCAGGAAGCTCAAACGGTCGCTCTTACATCACAACAAGCTACGACCGATGATCGTTCATTATCGGTTACAAGAAGCTATTACAATGAAATGAAATCCTCCAAAGTAGTTAACAATGTCTTCCAAACCAGATCAGGCGTGGTCTAAATATACTTATTACTTTTCTGAATAGTTTCTCAAATTTCTGTTATTAACAATTTTCTACAATAGTGGCCTGGATAACAGATTAACTCAGATGTAATGAGGATTGGGTTTTAAACCATGATCTTCTACTCATTAAGCATAACCGGTTGCTCTACTGCCACCGTACATCTTACATTACAACAATCTACGACCAACTTAACAAAAAGCTATTCAAATGAAACGACGTCTCTGAAAGCAGCCAACAATGTCTTCCAAACTAGATCACGCATACACCCTTTCCGAAACACATGGTTCAACTATTGGTTATTAACTGTGCTTTATGCTCTCGGAACCCAACGATGGCAATTTATTATATTGTGGGAGAGCATGGGATTAAACCCATGATATTCTGCTCATTAAGCAAAACCGATCCCTCCAGGGCTACCTAAAACCACAACACTCCACGGCATACGCGATATAGTTTTAGCGGCTGGTGGTTAATTTTAAACGGTGGTTATTTTTACTAACGGTACAACCCACGACGACTACGACGGCGATTACGACAGCGACTATGACAGCGAATACGACGGCACTTACGACGACGACAACAGCGAATTTGTAACTTACCATTTGTCTAGGATGTAACACCTTTGCCCGGCATCTCCACTTGACCTTCATGCCTGTTTGCAAAAATATCTAATTGTAGGTAGTGATGAAAACGTCGCTAGAACTATTCCACAACCGCAGTCAGTTTATGAGCAACAAGAGGGACGCACATTTTTGCCTGTGGACTTGGAGACATACTTCAAGTCCCCGCGTACATCGTACGGGCTAGGCAAAAATGTGCGTCTATCTTGAAAACTGTCGCTTTAATGGCCCTTCGCTCATTTTCAACTTCTATTCAATTTTCATACTGCCGTACTCTAACGGAACTATCCACCTACCCTCTTCTAAAGATCATTCTCTAGCTAATAAATCATCACACTAAAGCTTCATGTTAGCATTTCCAACCAACTCTGAAAATCGTTAACTTCGCGTATGAAGTAACATAAAAAACACTTTGAATCTAATTGTAATTACCTTTGTTGTAATACTTCCTTCAACGAAAACAAATTTTCTTGCCTTGCCATGGTCATCTGGGAGGAGGTTCGCGTCTAGTGCTTACCCCAGGAACCGTTCACGGCCACCAGCCACCGCCCGTCCAGTCTTGAGCGTATCCCTCTCTGAAAATTTCCACTCATTCGGATGAAACACGAGCCAGCACTTTTGATTTTAAATTTATATGGGGATATTGGTTGAAATGAATGGAGAAATAATATTCCTTTACTCTTTCGCGGTTTGTTTTTCACAGACCAATACTCACGCTCGTGTCTTTTGGTGCGATAACCACTCTCTGAAGAGGGGGCGACCCCGGCGTAGTGGTTAGCATCCATACCTCACACTAAAGTCACGAGTTCAAATCTCACCCCCGGACAAGTCACGAATGACCCAAGAGCGTTAAAGTGACTATAAAAAAACAACAACAACAAAAACAACACTCTCTGAATGTTTCAGCTGTTTTTGACTTAACACGGGCTGGCGCTTTTGATTTAATGTTGTTGTTTATTGATTAATTTGATAAGGCTCAAACGAATTAACTTTACAGAGCCGAGAATTCTTGGTCACTATACAATACATCTTAAAACTATAGTCAAAAGGTACAACACAATAAACACTTTATCTTCCGCTATCCAAAAAGCCTCCTCCATCAGAACTGGAGCCGCTTCCAGTGGTTTCTTTGTATGGCTGTTACGCCAACGAGGGTCAGAGCGCTTCCATTGCAGCAATTGACGCAAAACGTAGTCAGCACTCACACACGCATCACTAAACGGTTGCTTTCCAAAGTCGACGACGCATCGACCGAAAGAACTGCTGATGAAGAACAATGAGGAGGACCACACAATGGTTGCTGCCGAGATAACAGACGATCGCGTGGCACACATCGAGAGTGGCCTGCTTTTGTCGACAGCCGAGTGAACACTGATGGTTTAATGTTCATATAGGAGATTTGGTTGAAGTTTTCATATACAAAATGCTCATATACATTCAAAAGCGAATACCACAATAAAACTAACTGGACTTATGATGCAATCTTCAGCAAAGTTGTTACTCATGAACCGAACTACATGTTTTGAAAATCTGAATCAAATCGAGAATAAGGAAACTTTTTTATGATCGATGGAGTGTAGGAGTGCCCTTTCTTCATGTATTTTTTTTTCCAAATTCGCCATACAAAATTCAAACTAAAAGCGCCAGCTCATCTTAGAACCAAATGAGCTAAAACTTTCAGAGAATGGTTTTCTCACCTAAAGGCACAAATCTAGAGGTTGGCCCGTGGAAAATTAGAACTTTTATTTTTGTGGGCCAGTCTAACGGACATGCAAAGAGCGGCAGTATAGTGTGTGTGTCCGTTTTATAAAGTGAACAGTCCTTGCTGGAGGTTCATATGCACACTGAAAAAAGTTTTCATATAGTTTCCATTGGGAACGCACATGATATTTTTTCCAATAACGAAATTAATTATGTTTACCTGAAATTCACATAACATTCATATGATCACATGAATTCTATGTGATAAATCACATAAACTTCATTGGACACATAAGGTTTATGTGATTTTGTGGTGCGATTCCCATGTATGAGATCACATGAAAGTTAACCGAAATTCTAATGGATATTTTCCATCGGAAATGTGATTTATTTTTTGAGTGCACAGTCTTTTAAACTTTTTCCGATACAACAAGCAGCTGCAGCTGTTTTCTCGGTGTGCATCACGGGTTCATAGTGCCGGTATATGCGATTGTCCCGAGTGCTTTGTTCACTTCCTGCACGGTCGGTCGGTGAAGTAAATTTAATTTGATGATTACTAGAATCAAGAACACTGTCCTTGTGCGGGTGCAATAGTAAATTAATTCAACACTGTTGTTACTTAATGCATAAAGCGCAGACTTGTTCCAACTTAAATTTGATGACTAGGGCTTTCTCCGCTGATATCCGAGAGCTTGCTTCCATTTCAGCAGAATTGGCGTCCAGGGTATTGACGAAATTGGAAATTTCACCCACGGATGGAGTCACACTTCCAATTTTTTGAAGGTGACGGTATTCTTGACCTCAAATCATCGTTAAACTGATTTGTATTAAGTTATAATGAATTCCGAATGTTCTTTGGATGATGCTAAACTTTTCAAGGTGAGGCCAATATTTAGTAGTGGAATGTAAGTAACGACACAGTAGGAAAGACGAATATTTAACATGAATGAACATCTGAATTTAGTTTATGTTAACAGGCTGTCTCATGAAGAATTAAAAACTTTATTCTACGAAGATTTTTTTTATATTTAACCAGCAAATGTCAAGTTGTAATACTTTTCCAAACTATTACATTCAAGGGCTCTTTACAATATTATTCAGCTCAGAAGGGGGGGGGGGTTAGTCTAGCAACGCGTTATACACGCCATAGATACAAGATTAGATAAGAGGCGGTGGGGCTTGGGGAGTATTCAAAAGTCAGCTTTTTGTTTTACGTTATATTTGATCGGGCCCCAAATCAGAGGGCATCACACTAGTTCGTATCCTACATATGCCATGTAGGTATGCAATAAAATTGTTCATTTGACTTATTTGCCTTTCGCTTTGCGAGTAAATATGATAAGTTACCCTGGCACACCAGAGCAATAAAATGCATTGCATCCCGCTCAATTATCATACTAACAATGTTTTCCACTCTGCTTTTTCATCCTTCCCTTGCAGGTTAAAGCTAGGCGAAAAGTTGCCATCACCGTGCTGGCGTTTGTCGTTATATTCGGGATCTGCTTCCTGCCGTCGCATCTCTTCATGCTGTGGTTTTACTACAAGTAAGTTCATAGTTTATACCCGGTAGCGGTTGGTGTACCGCCTTTCTCACTGCTACACTTTTTGTCGAATTATTTTTTGCTACGTCCCTACTCGGTACATATTTCCTCCGGGGAACGTGTGACGGAAAGTGTTTTATTGCTCAGTTTTGGACAAGTTGAGTAATGACTGTTGAAGTTGTCAGAACAACGAATCCCATCTCTGCAGCAACAGATTGTCAATTTTCGGCGCAGAGTGTACCTAGAAATCCTTACACTATTTGCCTACCTACAGAAGTGCGATGAGCATGTTCTTCAATTAATGAATTTAGGAATCTGAAGTGGAAGAAAACAGGCATTTGCTTTCTGATTTCTGCCACGAAAAACAACATCGCATGTTTTAATAGCACATTCTGTAATGCTCCACTTTTATAAATAGGACAAATAGATAATAATAATAATAATAATAATAATAATAATAATAATAATAATAAACTCTAGCTTTTAGATTCATAAGGGCCTAACTGCGAGGATTGATTATCTTCAAAGAATTTCGCTTTTGTTAGAATCTAAACTGGATTAACTTTTCTCGGAGCAGTGGTTGTTGCTTTTGCATGTTCGAAACCAGCTCAATTGCTGCTTGGTTTTTCTGTTTAGATTTTAGTGTTGATGAAGCTGCAGACCCATTTTGGAAGAATGAAAAATTCAACACGACCATTAAAAATTTATTGTTCTTAGTCTCCCATAGGCTACGCCAAGAAGATACAGATTTTGAAATTTGAATTAGAATTGATTTCAATAAAACCAATTTACCTGAAATTCACAGCAGCCTAACCAACATATATTGGCAAAAATGTTTAAAAGAAGAAGAAAAAACATCAACAAGGCTGTCATTGATGAACTCTTTCCAAAACAAAAATGAGAATAGTGACAAGCTTTACACATCCAGTATGGTATACACATGAAATTAAAAACCTCAAAAACAGGAAGCAAATAGCACACAAGACGTAACTCAAAAGTTTACAAAATATAAGAAATACATTTAAATTTCCAGAGCACTTGATACAAAAATATTTTTAGCATATGGCAGTTAACTCAAAAGTAGAGAAAAAAAAAACCCGAATTTATCCACCTATGGTGTGATCAGACCCTTCTTACTTATTCAAGTTTATTTATTTTATTGTCATTATCAGTGACCAAGCCCCCCACCCCCGTGTCATCCAGTGACGCTACGCCACTGCCTGGGGGTACCCGGAATATATCCGGGTGTAGTCTATTTGGTGAGGCTACCAATCACCTTATCATCGTATTTTAATGTGATTTAATGGGTTTTAATTCAATTCATATTCAAGCAACTTCCCCGGGGTACCCGGAACATGTCCAAGTGTGTCCAATGTGGTCTGGAACACTTAACACGACTTGCATTGATCTTATTTTTGAATTCTGTAGTAATTTGATGTGTCGCATGATGTTTTTGATACGTTTTCCGTTAAATCCAGCGTGAAGGCCCATATTCACCGGAGCTTATTCCAGCCATATCTCCGGAACCGGTTCACCGATTCCAAAACCGTTTAGTAGCGTTCAATGGGACTCCAAGACCTATCATTTGGCGCCAAGTTTGTCCAAATCGGTTGAGCGGTTGCTGAGAAACGTGAGCGCATTCATTTCGTTACATACACACACACACATACACACATACACACGTACACACACACACACACAGACATGTTCCGATCTCGTCGAGCTGAGTCGAATGGTATATGACACTCGGCCCTCCGGGCCTCGAATCGATAGTCGGTTTTCCAAGTGATATCTATACCCTTCTTTGTAAGAAGGGTAAAAAATAAAATTCAAAACATTAATATGAAATTCGATGATGTTCTCGATTTAAATTATTTTTCCAACCTGCCTGAATACAAAAATGATGTATCAGTTAAAAATATAACTGTTCAAGAAATTTGAAGCTGTTGATGCCGGCAAAGGACCTGGCTTTGGCGGTTCTCCATTAGTTTAGAAGAAATCATTTTAAATCTTAATATTAAAATCTGGCAGACGGTCAAATATTAAAAATGGCAATGGCAAGAGGCAATGCTGTTCAAACATTATACGCTGACTTAAGCAAAGCCTTTGTCTGAGTCCTGCTTCGAACCCCTTCGGATACGGTTGTGTTGTAAATTTGCTCTCTGTTATGTGCGTGCGTTTGCTTTCATAGTTTTCGAGTACTTTTGTCTGATTATCGTTGGCATTATACGTGTGTGATTGGTGGAAGATTTAGAGAAAGAAAGAAAACGTGTTTGTAAGCATCAGAAGAGATGTTGTCATCTACGTTGTTTGTTTTTTTATCGCTTGTGCTACCGGAACAGAAATTTGAGGCATCGCGAGGGATTGTAAAACATAATATATATTTACTAAATACGCACAGGGCATCGTCTGCTGACCGTTGCCGCGGGTATATCGTGGGAGTACCAGGTACCCGGTTCAAGCTTTAGTTGGCGGTGGTGGCTCTTCTTGACCTTCTACCCCCTGAGTAGTTAGTGTGAATAAGGGCGTCTATGTGATGCTTTGCTGTACCTGTTGTGGACATCTAGTACATCCTGTTCCCTTAACTTGTTGAGGACACCCTGTCTTGCCTCAAAAGTTACCCTTTTTAAAGTTCTTCACAACATAAAGGGCACCATTGAAGATACATAATTTTTCAAGCCATAAAATAAAACCACTGGATAACTGTTCAAACGACAGTTTTAACGTGTGAAAAACAGTGTCTCTTAAATTCTGTAAGTGTTGCTGAACGTTGTATATGTCTAGGCAACGAATTCAACCATTTATTCCTTTTAAATACAATGAATTCTGTGAAGTACTAGAAAAAAAAATTTGATGTTCTTATTTCATACGTTTGTACTAGTATTGTATATATGAAAGTCACTTCCTCTTTCAATCTGATCACACAAATATCGAGGCAGCAAACCGTTAAAATTAAAATGAACACCATAGTCAAATATACAATTCTTTGCTTCACCGATAACCTTTTTAAAGCGTCTAGCATCAAAGTTGAGACAGTGAATTTATTACAACAAATTATCATACGCATTTACACTGCAAGTGCTGTAAGCTCGATATTAGTGTTTCATTGGCAAGAAATAAAATGGAAGAGCGAAGGTCTAGATGAAGAGAGATGATTGATTTGTATAGCTATATTTGACTGGCAGTAGTTAAATTGTTTTAAGTCGACATAGAATTCCATATTTCTTGGTAATTTTCTTGATGACATTGTCAATGTGAAGGTTCAACTCAACTTCGTCATTAATAATCACACCGAGATATTTAATCTCCCGAACGCAATCAAAAATCTCCTTATCAATTACAACAGAGACGTTCTCAATTACTCAATTCCGCGAAATTACCATAAATTTAGTTTTACTTGTATTCAATTTCAACTGCTTGTACAACGATCTACTTAGAGAACGCAAATCTTCATTCAAGTGTAAAACAGCATCATATAAATCCTTAGCTGCAATGAATAACACAGTATCATCTGCAAAAAATTAACATAACATAATAAATAAAAGGGGCCCTAATACACTTCCCTGGGGCACTCCAAGGTTATTCCCTCACGGGAAACAGAGTCATTAAAAACAGTCCGTTGAGTTCTGTCAGACAAATAGCTCTCAAACCATTTATTTGCAGTAATTCCAAAGTGCTTGATTGATTTTAACAATAGGGGCCTAGAAATTGTTTCAAAAGCACGTTTTGGATCCAGGCTAGACAAATGATATATTAGGTGAAAAAACCGTAGCCGTGATGTTAGAGTGAACCGAAAAAATATTAATTGTTGTCGGCAATATAGTTGTGCCTGGCTTAGAAATGGTTAACATATTTGTTTACAAACAGTCTCAACATTTTGAAATTTTTGACAATATTGCTTGATATAGTTTTCTTAATCAAAGTTCTAAATTTGGCCATAATAGGGTAATTTTTTTAACTGCATTAATATTCAATTAATATTTTCATGCAAACTTTAAAGTAAGCATAGCATAGCAAAGCGATTGTACAAATCGTGAGCGGCTATATAATGGTTAACAAATACGTTTTGCAGAAAATATCGTGTATTGACGCAGACAAAACACTTGGGATTAGTGATTTTCCCCACCAAAAAATAAAATCTACAAAACATTCATCTGGCCACATCCTTACAATCGCAGGGGAAGGGATGGAAAGTAAATCTTACATCTACTTAAGAAGATGCAGGGTACCCATAATACCTTCATAGATGTCACAGAAAGGGATAAGGGTTGTGTTAGTTGGAGTGTAAATGATTAGGAAACTCTATTCATCAATATAGAGCATTTGATAAATCAGTAACAAAAAGGAATATAAATAGATAAAATGAAAAGATCTCACCCAAATGGCCTAATGACTTTGCAGCGTCATGTTTACGGAAATGCTTTATTTAATTTTCCTTGAACCACCGCAACCACTGATAACGCTGTTCTAACTTATTCATTTGTTCTACTCGTACGCACAAAAGATCGCACTCCACGCATAATCAACGTCATACATAAATGAACCAACCGGTGAAAATTTAGACACTACAAGGATAATCTTGATTGCGGCTTCTTTGTTATAAAAAAAAGTATCATATAATGAAAAAGTTATACCCTTGCCTAAAGATTCTGAACGCTAGAAGTGTTCTTCTGTAGTGTAGTATACAAACATTTAGGTACCGGTATTTCTATGCATTAAGCAGTTGATAATTCAAATTATCGATCGGTTTTTATTCTTTCCAGCCCTAACTCCCAGGAAAACTACAATCACTTCTGGCATGTACTGCGGATAGCCGGATTTTGCTTATCATTTGCTAATAGTTGTGCTAACCCTGTCGCACTCTATTGCGTGAGCGGTGCCTTTCGCAAGCATTTTAACAGGTAAGTGTGAAAAAATAATGTTGAATTTATTGTCATCGTATCCATTGTGGATTGCCAATATCCATAAACGATTATTATCCTATCGGCCAACCGCAGAATGGTAACGCAAATATATGTATAACCTTCCTCCATCAATTGCATTAGATGCCTTCTCGGTGTTGCCTTCAGGAGCAGTTCCACGCCATCTGACGAATCGATTTTATTTTTTCCTCTCCGAATTCCATGAAACATTCCATAATTGTTCATTAAGGGCAAAAAACCAAGTTTATACTGGAATTCGGCAATTTTGACTAACACCTATTTAAAAAAAATCGTATTCGATATTTTCAATAAATCATAGCTCAAAAGCGCCTCATCTTATCGAAATGGCGTCTGAGACAAAGTTGTAGGAAATTGGACTGCGTTACAGAAAAAAAAATTAAAAAATAAATTTAAAAAAAAAACTTATTGAAAAGCCAAAATGGACGAATTCCAACACAAACTTGGTTCATTGCCCATAGCGAATAATTATTCCCAGTTTTATGGGGTTCTGAGAGGTAAAATCTAACATTTGTTTATTACTTCGCTATTTGACCTGGAACTGAGCTTGTAACCACACCTAGTGTATGTTTAATTTCAACAGATCTGTCCGACAATAAATTTAATCCTCACTAATTGGAATGCAGAACGTGACATCCGCTATCCTTGTTTCATCCATCCGAAAAAAGGTACCTGCTGTGCGAGGGGTCTTCCAGTGCCCGCCGACGTCGAGGCGATAACCTGGGCCATCGGGACACATCCATGACGAGCACCATGTCCAGGCGATACCCCAGCAAACGGATAGGAGCGCAGTCGGTGCGAGTGTAAGTACTCGGTGTTGTATTTCACACTCATTAATTTAAGTTGGAGTTATAAATTTATTTACCAACTATTGAATGGAACGATTGCGAAATAATCTAATTGCAATCACCGGAAATATCACGTTCCGGCACATATGGCACGCAATTCTGTGTAGCTTCTGAAGAAATTGTTGCTTAGCAAAAGCATGGCGTCATGGGAATACTAATTGGCATTGCAGTGGGTTTCATTTGCACCCTAGTTTTGAATCCTACTTAGGGTGCCAAATTACATTCATATTAATTTCAATTTTGCAAGAACAAATTGTCCTTCGTTTTTAGTGGCTGGTGACATAAAAGTTCCTTTATGTATTTAACGTCGGTCTCTGTTCCGCAATCTAGTGCCAATCACCGACGGACATCGATTGCCATCCATTGACGGCAATCGAATGTGCAGGAAGGCAGCTTCCACACCTGCGTAGGATATCGCACCTACACATGGGCCGGGACCAACGGCTTTACTTCCCTTCCGAAGGAAGACGTGACCAGAGATTTTTATGCCTCAGAAAAATCCCACCGACCTCGGCTGGGATTGAAGCCAGACCCATGTGTTAGAAGACATAAAAGTTGATTGAAAATAAAAATTGCTTCTTTTTACGGAAGAAAAAGTTGATAAGGGTGGTCCCCACGTAAATTAAAATAATGATGTAAATATGATTCCAATATTCAGCCACGTTGTAAGGAAAATATATGATCAAGCAACTTCACTGAAAACACCGCTTGTCTTGCTCTTTGTGGGCCATGGTACTTTTCAGTTTTCCATTATGGTCTATCTAAAATAAAAATGTTCTTTTGATTTTCTTGTTTTAATTTGGAAGAAAACGTCTTGAATGTAGAATGTAGAATGATTTTATTGTATTACTTCCCTTCATATAATAATTCATGAGTGGGCATGTAGCATGAGGGATTTGGATAATAGTAGATCTTGTTTAAGCCAATTTCTGGTGACTTTCCCTGGGGTGTCCAAGACATGTTTGAGTGTGGTCAATGGGTACTTAATATAACCTCCAATAATAATTTAAATGCTAAACATTGAATTTCAAGTAGAGCGTCCTTCCAGGGAAATCACTGAACGAAAACCCCGGAATTTTTTTCTTGGTCCCATGGTTTCCCAAAAATTTAGCTTAAATAGATTTCAACGCAAAATTTAGAATTAATCTCAATTCAAAACTATCGCAATCATTCACAATTCAAAGCTTTCGTTAGTGTCAACACCGCAGGGCAGCAAACCCAACACAACGGTGTGCGTAGCTGCGGTTGGCGTACCTAATGTTATTGCCGTTTCGTACCGTTGTCAGAAGTGAAGAAAGGGAAGAGAAAAAAAACAAAACCAAAACAAACCAAACACAATTTATAAATGGACATTGCTAGCAGATAGAAATTGTTAGCAGATAAAGTGAAATTATAGAGGAATTCAAGGAATATTTCGGATCATAAAGTTCGTCTATACTGTGCATCTGGTTCACCTTCAGCGTCCCGAACATAGAAGGAAATTATAATTGTAAGTAGTTCTAGCAGGTACCTGGAAAAGAAAAACATTAACACAAAATAATTCATTAGTGGAACAGGCGTATAGGAAAGCTAGCGACGATTTGAACGGGAGAATTCGTGGTAAATAGAAGGAAGAGCTAGAACGAGGAAACGGTTGTGTAGCGCACAAAAGTAGAATTAGACCACAAGTTCGGAATCAAATTTATCGGATTTAATTTTCTAATAAAATCTTAATATTACAGTTTGAGCTGCCACAAAAAAAGAGGCTGCTACAAAAATTTTGGTTTGGTATCCGAACATTCTCAAAAAGAAGTGTACGAGAATCGGATAAACCTCAAAGCGCTATGGCCAATCCTGCTCCACCCGTTCTGAACCTCACGGAGACTCCTTGTGCGTCGTGCGATGAAGTTTTGACCGAAAATGAGGAGATGATCGGTTGTGATGGTTGCCAACGTTGGTACCATATCCGTTGCGTCGGGATTACTGATGCGAAGAAGGAAGGTACGTGGTACTGTACCGAAGAACCATGTCAACGGATCAAGAAGAAGAAGAGTCGCAGCAAGAAAAATAACGATGAATCGGATCGCTCCAGTGTCAAATCCGACCGTGCGCTCGCTCTGGAGCATAAATTGAATGCGATGGAGGAGAAACAAAAACGGATGGAGCAAGAGCTGGAGATGGAGATGAAGATTAAAAAGAAAGAGATGGAGTTCAAGCGATCCATTGAGATGAAGCGGATGCTGTTAGAGAAGCAGTTACGCGAAGAGGAAGAAGAAGAAGAAAAGCTGTTCCAGGAGGAGATATTGAAGCAGCGAAAAGAGCAGTTGAACCGGATGAAAGCTAGGCAGCAGTCGTTCGCGGACGAAATGAAGGAGCTGGATGAAGCTATGTCGGAGACGAAGAACACCGAAAAGAAGAGAGCAACAAAGGACATCGATGCCGGCGAAGGTACTTCAGGAGTAAAGCCAAAACTGCGCCATTCGAAGATCGGAAAATTGACGGAGCAGAATTTGAAGAAGTTGAGAGCTGCTCAATACGAAAATTCGGATGAAGACGATGAAGATGAGACAGCTGATGAAATGGAGGATGATCAAACCGAATCCGGCGAAGAATCCGATGGTGTTTCGGAGAAAAGTGTAGCTACGAAGAACAGCAAGTCAACGAAAAAGTCCGGTAGATTGAGCCAACACGGGCTGGGGCAGGCACGATCCAGGCCGACCAGAATTCAACTGGCAGCGAGAAGTGGCGTAAGTAAAAGACTACCCACATTCTCTGGAAAGCCGGAAGAATGGCCGTTGTTCTACGGAATGTACTAAGCATCGAATGAAGCCTGCGGTTACTCGGACATTGAAAACCTGGTGCGGCTGCAAGAATGCCTGAAGGAGTTAAAGCGGATGAATTTGTGGGTCTCGGCTGTTGATGCGGATGAAAAACTTCTTCTGAAGACGGTCCGCACTGTCGAAAAGCTGATGTTGCCTATACAAGCTTTGGACGCAAAGGGGCTTTTGCGGTAGTATAAGCATATGCGAGGATTGCCCATCTCCTCGTATGACGGACGGCCGGAAATACTCATCGGGTTGAACAACATCCACTCGTTCGCCCCGATTGAAGCAAAGCTCGGTGCAGTTATTGATCCGATAGCCGTGCGGTGCAAGCTCGGATGGACGGTCTATGGACCGAAGCAAGCGAACGCTGTCGAAGCGAGCAGCGAGTATCTTGGAATCCACAAGGAAGTGACAAACGAAGACCTTCATAAGCTGCTGAAGGCACACTACGCACTGGAAGAATCGGTCGTTGGCGTACCGCGGGAGTCTGCTGAGGACGAGAGAGCTCGCAAGATCCTCGAGAAGACCACGAGACGAATCGGTGACCGCTTCGAGACCGGGCTACTGTGGAAGACGGACGATCCAAGGTTCCCGGATAGCTACCCGATGGCGTTGCGAAGGCTGAAGCAGTTGGAGAAGAAGCTAGAGAAGAATCCGGAACTTCACGTGAACGTTTGTAAGCAGATCGATGAGTATCAGGAGAAGGGGTATGCGCACCTTGCTATTACGGAGGAGCTCGTTGGAACGGAATCCGATAAGGTATGGTACCTTCCACTAAACGTGGTACTGAACCCCAAAAAACCAGGTAAGGTACGCCTCGTGTGGGATGCTGCGGCAACGGTGCAAGGTATCTCCCTGAATTCACAGCTGTTAAAAGGGCCTGACATGCTTGTGCCGCTAGTGACTGTGGTTGTTGGGTTTCGGGAATACAGAATTGCTGTAGGTGGCGATCTGCGTGAAATGTATCACCAGATGAAGATCATCGCTCGGGATCGGCAAGTACAACGTTTCCTCTTCCGGAAAGATTCCAAGGGACCTCCACGCGTGTTCATCATGGACGTTGCCACGTTTGGATCGACGAGCTCTCCCTGTTCGGCCCAATATGTGAAGAACCTCAACGCTCAAGAGTACGCTGGGCAATATCCGGAGGCAGCAGCGGCGGTTATCAACCGTCATTACGTCGACGACTACTTTGATAGCGTCGACACCGTAGACGAGGCGATCGAGCGAACAGAGCAAGTCAGGTTCATTCACCAGAAGGGAGGCTTCGAGATTAGGAACTGGGTTTCGAATTCGCCGGAAGTTCTCCAGAGCCTCGGTGAGCAGAAACCGGTTTCAGCCGTCCACATCACCGAAGACAAAGTAACGTCACACGAACGCGTGCTAGGTATGATCTGGGATCCGGATCGTGATGAATTATCTTTCTCCACCCAACATCGCCAAGAGCATCTTCCGTACCTATGCGGAGACAAACGGCCAACGAAACGTGCGGTGTTAAGCTGCGTCATGGGTTTCTTCGATCCGCTTGGTTTACTTTCTCCGTTCACGATCCACGGAAAGATCATCGTGCAGCACTTATGGCGTAGTGGCTGCGATTGGGACGACGCAATTAGCGACGATTGCTGGGAAATGTGGAAGCGCTGGATTGCTGTACTGCTGGAAGTCGAGAACATTAGGATTCCACGTTGCTATCTTGGAGATTCCTTGTCGTCTGCGGTTGAGTCAATTGAACTTCACATCTTCACGGATGCCAGCGAACACGCATACGGCTGTGTTGCGTATCTGCGAGTAGTCATCGACGGAGCTGTGCGGTGTATTCTAGCTATGTCTCGATCGAAAGTGGCACCGTTGAAGCGCCAGTCAATCCCGCGACTGGAGTTGATGGCGGCTGTACTTGGAGCGCGGATGAGTCAAACGATGATCGCTACGCATTCACTGAAAATCGATCGATGCATACTGTGGACAGATTCACGAACGGTTTGGAGTTGGATCCGGTCTGACCAACATAAATACAAACAGTTTGTTGCGTTCAGGATCGGAGAAATACTGGAGTTGACACGAGCGACGGATTGGCGATGGGTTCCAACGAAGCAGAATATGGCGGACGTCCTGACGAAATGGCATCGAGGTAACGATCTGGAAAGCGATGGG